CAGAAATACAAAAGATCATTAAAAAAAAAATACTATGAGTGATTAAATGCCAACAAACAGGAAAACCTAGACAAGATGGACAAACTTCTGGATACATATAATTTACCAAGATTGAAACCAGAAGACATAGAAAGCCTTAATAGAACAAAAATAAGAAATGAGATTGACTCAATAAATAGTCTCCCAATAAAGAAAAGCCCAGGTTTCAATGGACTCACTTCTGAATTCTACAAAACTTACATAGGTAAGCTAACCCCAATTCTCCTCAAACTATTTCTAAAGACCCAGAAGGAAGAAACCCTCCCAAATTCATTCAATTAAGACATCATCCTAATACCAAAAACAAACAAGGCTATCATAACCAAAACAAATAAAAAACACTACATACCACTATCCCTGATGAATACGGATGCAAATTTTGGGGGTTGTTTTTTTGTTTTTTGTTTTTTTAGGGGGGAGGGAGGTTACAGGTTTTTGTATTCCTCAGAGACAAAGACAGAAAGAAGGAAAGTGAGAAATCATCCCCAACAGGGATAGCCAGCCACAGTCCCTTCTCCATTCTCCTCCTGGGATCTTGGCACACACGCGCAAGTGTGCATGTGCGCCTGGTGTGAGTTTCAAGCCACCAGGTCTGGAATTCAAACTACGGTCAGCCATATGGGAGTTCAGCAACATAATTACTGTACCATCTGCTGGCCCTGATGCAAAAATTCTTAATAAGAGACTAGCAAATCATATCCAACAACACTAAAAAGGTGATACACCATGACCAGGTTGAGTTTATTGCAGGGATATGAGGATGGGTCAACATAAAAATAAAAACAATAAATGTAATACAACACATTAACAGAGTGAATACAAAAACTATACAATCATATCAATTAATGCCAAAAAAAAGCATTTGATAAAATACAATATCCATTCATGATTGATACTCTGAGAAAAGCTGGTGAACGTTTCTTAAACAATAAAATTATATATGACAAATCCATGGCTAACATCATACTGAATGAGGAAAAGCGAAAGCTTTTCCACTGAAAACTAGAACAAGACAAGGCTGCCTGCTTTCTCCACTCCTTGTCAACATAGTAATGGAAGTCCTAACCAATGAATTCAGACAAAAGAGAAAAATAAAAGGCATTCAACTAGGAAAAAAGTGAAATATTTCTATTTGCAGATGATAATAAACATTAAAAATTTCAAAACAATCTACAGTAACATTCCTGGAAGTGATAAATGAATACAGAAAAGTGGCAAGATACAAAAATCAACATACAAAAATACAGCGTTATTATACACCAACAGTGAACAAACTGAAGAAGAATTGAAGAAAACAATCCTATTTATAATAGCTACAAAAAAATGTAAGATACTCAGGAATACACCTAACCAAAGAAGTGAAAGCTCTCAGAACCAGCAGGTGGAAGGGCACTGGATTCCCATGTGGCTGACCATAGTTCAAGTCCTGGATCTGACGGCTTGCTTTCTCACTCTCTCTCTCTCTCTTAAAGAGAAGCCCAGATTTCGGGGCCAGCGGGTGGCGTGGTGGTTAAAGGCGCTGGACTCCCACATAGCTGACCGTGGTTCAAGTCCTGAATCTGGTAGCTTGCTTTCTCACTTTCCCTCTCTCTCTCTCTCTCTGTCTGATCAAACTGGAAAGTAACAATAATAATAAATAAAGTTAAACTAAAATTATTCTTAAATAAAAAAAGAGAGAAGCCCAGATTGCAATGGGCTCACTAGGACCATTACCATTACTACTAAAACACTGATGAAATACTCTTTATGTATCAAACATGACACTAACCTTAACCCCAACCTAATCCTAACCCTAACCTAACCCAGAAATCTATAAATAGAACTACCATACAGCCCAGTAATTCCACTCTGAGGTAACTACCCAGAGTATAGGGAAATTGTCAAGCAGAAAAACATTTGCACATTCATTTTTTTTAAAGAGGTTTTTGCTATACAGCGTGTGTGCTCACCAGAAAGACGTAGAGAGACAGAGAGACAGAAAGCAAGAAATCACCCTCTAGTGAGGATGGCCACACCACAATCCCTTATCCTCCATTCTCCTCTTGGGATCTTGAGCACGCACGCACACGTGCCCAGTGTGAGTTTAAGCCGCCAGGTCTAGGACTGAAACCGCAGTCAACTACATGGGAGTCCAGCAACATAGCCATTACGCCAACGGCTGGTACCAGCACATCCATTTTTATCGCAACATTATTCAATATTGCTAGGACATGGAATTAGCCCAAATGTACAAGAACAGACAAGTGGATTGAAAAAATGTGGCACATGTACTCTATGGAATACTACTGAGCCTAAAAAAAAGATCCTGACATTTGATCAAAGTGGGTGAACTTGCAAGATTTAATGGTAAGAGAACCATGCCAGACTGTGAAAGACAGGCATTGTATGTCTCCGCTTAATATATACCGAATGTCTGCACTATATAGCAGAAACTAAAAGACTGGAAGGTATAATAGGAGGGAGACAAACTGTAGATACTAGAGACAGTAATGGCTGGGTAAGGATAAGAAGGAAAATAATTAATAGACACAAAAATAGAAAGTGATAATGTATATGGTAATATCTTTGACTAAAACCCACAATCTTCACGCTGGGAAAAATCACGTTGTACACTGTAAAGATGTACAGTGATTAAATGTGTAAAAAGCCAGTAAAACAAAGAGTGTGAGAAAGAGAAGATATCACAATGCCGAAAAGGAGATGACAAGCAAGGAGCATGAATAAAAACGAATGGCAGATCTCAATATTTGCCACACTGATTCAATAAGAAATGGGTTCTTAAACATGATAAGGGCTATAATTAAAAAGAAAATGACAACAGAGTGACTAAGAAATATAAAACGGGGCTGGTCTCATACCATAGCAGCTAAGTACTGTACACAAAGAGCCAGATCACACATGGCTGACTAAGGCATGAATCCTAGACTCTGTGGCTTGAAAATTACATGGGGAATACGTACATGCATACTCAAAATCTTGATAGAATGGAAAGAGGATTGCATTGTAATCATACCCCGGTGAGGAGGCTCACTCTCTCTCTCTCACTATCTCTCTCTGGTAAGTGCATATACCCTCTGGCAAAAATAAGTAAATAAGTTAAACATGATTTTAAAAGTACCAAAAAAAAAAAAATTACAAGCAAAATCGAACTCATTCCTGTATATGAGACACAGTTAAAACAAATGATTTTGAAACAATAAAAATAAAGGATGAGCAAAGGTATTCCTAGAAAAGACTGATCAAAATAAAAAAATATAAAATAAAATAAATTGGTTATATTAATATCAGATGAGGTAAAATTCAGGCAAAAAAACATTAAACAAGCAAATCACTTCTAAAATTAAATAATACAATTTATGATAAACAGTTATTAATATCTATAAGAACAAAGTCCATAAAGTGTAAATTCCAGAATATGCAAAGAGAAAGAGGCAGAAATAAACATTTTCTTAAATATTATTTTATTTAACTTTATTTATTTATTTTAATTTGACCAGAGAAAGACAGAGTGAGAGAGAGAGAAAGAGGGAAAGTGAGAAAGCAAGTTGCCAGGTCCAGGACTCAAACCATGGTTGGCCATGTGGGAGTCCAGGGCCCTTAACCACCATGCCATCAGCCGACCCCATCAACTAACATTTTAAGTCTTTAGTTCAACTTTCACAATTAGACAGATCAAGTTTTTAAAAATAGTAATGAGCAAGTAATAAGAGGCCTAAAACATAATTAATACATTTGACAGACACAGATAATGAACTCCATACAATGACATAAGAATTATCTTGAAGGGCATATAGAATATTTATAAAAATTCAGCCATGAAATTAATTTCTAAAAGTTCAAAAAAGGTAGATATAATACTTACAACACTATAACAAAAGCAAAAACTAATAGAATCAAGGGCCAGCAGGTGGCATGGTGGTTAAGGCACTGGACTCCCACATGGCCAACACAGTTCAAGTTCTGGACCTGGTAGCTTAAAAATCATTCCAAGCACACATGTGTGTATGCCCAAAACAGCAGGAGGATGAAGGAGAAGGAACTGTGGCATTGCCATCCTCCCTGGGGGATGTTTTCTCACCTTCTCTCTCACTCTCTCTCTCTCTGTCTCTCTCTGGAGAATACCCACACCCTATGGCAAAATAGTAATGATAATAAAACTAATGTAATAAAAACTAGTTCTTCTACACAGAAAATTTGTAACTCTTGCTGGAAAAATTCCTAGGCCCATCTGAAAAATCAGAACAATGCATCCATGTTGGTTTCAATGTTATCATGAATTTGTTACACCAATAATGTATGTACACAAGCTTATCCAACACAGCATTACTTTACCATTACATTCCAACATGTTCCCATCAGTACAAGTTCTCTTTTGATTACTTCTATTTTCTCAGTAAAATAAGAAGAGCATCAGCTGAGAATAATGACAGAGACCTGTCACAAGTTTGAGGAGAGAGAAAAAATGCATAAAATAGTTATGCAGGAGAGTTGAGAGAGAGATCAAGTTAGACTAGCAGAAGTTCTAGAAATCATTAAGACATGACTTGAGATTGGTGATTATGAATTTAAAGCTGGGCAAGGTAAAATAAAATATGGACAAGATAGTGGAAAACTGTTAGGCTCAATGGACTAAACGCTCTGGTAAGGGTGAAGAACCATAAAAGTGAGGATATTAGGAGTAAGCTGGAAAAAAAAAACAGTGGTACTTGAAGAGTTAAGATATTAAAAATGAAAATTATAATTGTTCTTTCCCAGTACTAGAATGACAAATTCAATGGTAAGACGATGGGAAAGAGAAGCTCAAGTAGGATGGAAAGTAAGATCTTTGGAAGAGAGATTTAAAAACAAACAAACAAAAAAAAAAAATAGAGAGGTCAGGTATAGAAGTATTTAAGTGGATATTTAAATTCCTAAAAATAATTGACTGATATATGCTGGACAGAGTGACAGTGATCTAGAAGCTAAATTCTTTCTTCATGAAGTAAAACTCGGAAGTCTGAGAAACAAAAGATGAGTGCAAAAAGGTAATATATAAAATAATTTATTTTAATAGACTGAAGATATATAATTCAATGTCAGGTGATTTAAAGGAGGAAGGATTGAAAATAGAGAAGAAATAACAATAAGAAGTAAAGGGGGAGCCAGGTGGTAGCACAGTGGTAAAACATGACATTGCAAGGCTAAATGGGAAAGTTCTGGGTTCACCTTCATAGACCTCCCTAGTATGCCAGGCCTGCACGTGCCTGTGGATCTAAGGCTGGCTAGAGCTGGGAGTGGATCACAATGTCAAGAACCCCTTTGGGGCACTACGTCTGTCTCCTCCCCTCTTCTCCTTCATAGAAGAAAGAAAGAAACTTTACAAACCAAAATGAAGTAAACAGGATACACGTGCCACTTTAACCCAGCTGTACAGAGGACACAGAAGTGAAAACAGGCAACATTTGAGAGGACTTCAGGAGTAACAGTGGAGTATTTATAAGGAGAGTCTTCCTCTAAGCACATAAGCACTGCTTTTGTTGTTGCTAATGGCTGTCTGTAAATGAGTTTTCCCATTAGGACCGCACATGACTTTAAATAGTTGTATGTATTGTTAGCTGACTATACACAAAAAAAGAGCCAAAAATGAGTTCATAATATTGGCCACAACCAGAATTGGAAAGTGTTCTTGAATATAAGTAGCACCATAGCGTATATATTTGTACACAAATTAAAAACAACAAGATTACAAATGTTTGAAAATGCCATGAAGAATTCAAAAAAATAAAATACCGTAAAAACAAAAAACCTGTAAGACGGCAGTACAGAACAGTTTATGTAGACTGCCCTAGTCACCTTCATGTAACACATAATAATCTTACAGAAGCCAACAAACAATCCTCGGGATGATTACTTTAAAGGCATAAAACAGACATAAAAGATATAGCAATAGGATTAGGAACAGAACACTGAAAAAGGAAAAATTCTAAAATCATGGAATACATAGCAAAGAGACAGGGTTAGTTTCAATGCTGGGTTTATAAGTAAAATCCAAAGAAATAGCACCATCTACTGGAATTTCTCAACTTAAAAATAGTCTCAAATCTTAGAAAATAAGACCACTATTTAACATTTCCCCTTGTTCTGCTAAGAAGATTCATATAAAAGGACCGAATCTAATATAATCAAAAAAGTTTATATTAAAAATCATTAATTCTTGGTTTATAACCTCGATCTCAAATAACTTATCATTTTGACTAAATTTATAATGAAGATTTTATGAAAAATAAAAATATTCTCAACCAATAAAGAAATCACATTTTTAAAGTAACTCACAGATATGGTATTCCTGAATGCTGCTTGTATAACCATATATTGCAGAATATCCAAAAATTATGATCATGACAACATCTCTACTATCCAACTCCATAATATGTGCTGAATGTCCCTCCACAGCATACTGCTGACCATGTCCAAGAACAGTGGGAGTTTTTGTACTCCATGACTGACTATGTATGTTAAAAACCCATAATTCATCTGTGACATTGCCATCATTTGTTTCAATTCTGCCTCCATACATAAAGATGTTTTCCTGTAAATTAAAATACATATATTAATAGAGAAAACAGTTATTTTTAGCAATACATATTAATTAAAAATATAAACTAAATTTAAACCTTAAGGAGATTTTAGTAATTACTCAAAAACATGCATATTGCATAGTTCTGATTTTTAAAGTCAAATGGGAACATATGAGTAATGATACTTGATACTTTCACATAGAAAAAGGGAATATTTCATACATGTTTCAAAGTTACTTTAAGATATTTTTCTTAAGATGGCTATAATTAGTCAATTAAATGTATTTTTAAGAATTATTTCCTTTTTTATTTATCATTATTGTTATTTTTAATTTGATCAAAGCGAGATAGAGAACTGAAGGGAGAAAGCTAGCCTCCGGGTCTGTCACTTAAACCATGGTCAGCCATGTGGGAGTCCCGCACCTTTAACCACCACACCACCTGTATTTTTAATTACTACAAAGGAAGAAAAAAACTGTTACAAGAATAAAAAAATGCAGAAAGCTGGTCAATAACTTAAGAGTAAGGGAGCCAGTAGGGTGGTGTGAAGGTTGAGACAGCTGGATCCCATATGGCTGGCTGCAGAGTTCAAGTCCCAGACCTAGCACCTTGAAAAAACACCAAGCATGTGTGTGTGCTCATGTGCCCACCCAAAATCCCAAGAGAAGAATAGAGGAGAGGGATTGTGTCGTGGCCATCCCCCATTGAGGTCGATTTCACTCTTTTTGTCTCGAGCAAATCCACACACCCTATAGCAAAACTAAAAAGAAAGAGTGAACCCCAACTTCATAACCTTATAGTTCAAGGAGCTAGATCCCACATGGCCGACCACAGTTCAAATGCCAGCATCAGCAAATTAAAAAGCATGTCAGGTGCATGTGCACACATGCACAAAATCTCAATAAGATAAAAATTGGAGGAGAAAGAATTGCATGATGACATGCCCCAAGGAGGCCAGAAGATTTAACATTGATGAAATGGCAATACTCTCCAAATCAATCTACAGATTCAACACAATCCTAATCAGAATCCCAACTAACTTCTTGTGGAACCAGACAAATGTATTCTGAAATTAATATGGAATTGCAAAGAATACAGAACATCAGCACAACTTGTAAAAGACAAAAATTACCAAAAACTAACTTCAAAACAAAAGTAATCAAGACAGTGTATTACTGGCACAAATCAATGATATAGAACTGAGAGTCTGGAAATAAACCATACATCTACAGCCAATTGATTATTTTTTAAGAAAGACTTTTCTATAAGACATGTGCACTCATCAGAGAGACAGACAGTCAAAAAGCAAGACATCACCCCCACCTTCTACTCCCCCAATGGAATAGCCAGGCTTCAATCCCTTCTCCCCCGTTCTCCTCTCGGGATTTTGGGGCTGCACGTACACATACCCGGCATAAGTTCAAGCTGCTGGGTCCAGGACTCAAACCACAATCAACTATATAAGAGTCCAGAGATGTGACCATTATGCCATCTGCTGGTCTACAGCCAACTGATTTTTGACAAGCTGGCCAATATCATTTAAAGGAGAAAAAATAATCTCTTCAACAAATTGTGCTGGGGAACTGGATAGCAAAAGACTGAGGCTGAATCCTTACTGTACATGATATAAAAACAAAAATCAAAAATAGATCAAAGAACTAAATGTAAATGCCAAAACTACATAATTCTTTTTTTAAAAAGCAGGGTAATCTTGGGACCAGCAGTTAGCGTAATGGCTATGTCACTGGACTCCCATGTAGTCAACCGCGGTTCAAGTCCCAGACCCGGAGGCTCAAAGTCATGCCAGGCACGTGTGCGTGCGTGGCCAAGATCCCAAGAGGAGAATGGAGAAGGGGAGAAGGGAGAAGGGACTGCAGCATGGCCATCCCCCCTGGGGGGTGATTTCTTGCTTTCTATCTGTCTCTCTCTTGTCTTTCTGGCGAGCGCACATGCACTACAGCAAAATCCTCTCCAAAAAAAAAAAAAAAGTAGGGTAATCTTTATGATCTGGGACTTTGAAATGCCTTCTTAGATGTAACACCAAAATCCCAATTAATAAAAGAAAAAAAAGGATAAATTAGATAAAAAGATAAGAAACTTCAATGATTCAAGATATCACCAAGAAAGTGAAACAGCCCACATAATTAGGGAGAAAATATTCACAAGTGATAAATCTGCCAAGGAACCTGTATCTAGAATATATACAGAACTATTACAACTCAACAATTAAAAGACAAATAATTTTAATTGGGTAAAGGAATTGCATATAGATTTTTCCAAAGACAAAATACGAATGGCCAAAAAGCACATACAAGGCTCAAAATAGGGCCAGGCCAGCAAATGATGTGGAGTTAAGATGCTAGATCCCACATAGCTGACTCTGAGGTTTATATCCCAGACCTGGTAGCTTGAGAAACATACCAGATACACGTGCATGCATACCTAAAATCTTGAGAGGAGAATGGAGAAGGGATTGCAGTATACCTATCCACCCACCAAGGGGTGATTTCTCACTTTCTCTCTGTCTATCTCTAGCAAGTGCACATCACCTATAGAAAACAAAAAAAATCAATTCTCAACATCAATAGTCAACATGGCAATACAAATCAAAACCACAATGGGAAACCACTTCAAACTACTAGGATTACTATAATCAAAAAGACAGATATTAACACTTATTACTGGGGCCAACAGCATAAAGGTTGTCACTGGACTCCCACACAATTGACTGCAGTTCAAGTCCCAGATCCGGTGGCTTAAAACTCATGCCAGATGCATGTACATGTGTGCCCAAAATCCCAAGAGGAGAATAGAGGAGAAGGGACTTTGGCATGCCCATCCCCCAGGGAGTTGATTTCTTACTTTCTTCTCTCTGTGTCTCTGTCTCTCCATCTCTCTGGTGAGTGCATGTGTCCTATAGCAAAAGAAATCTCTTCTAAAAAAAAAAAATTTATCACCAAGGATGTATAGAAATGGAAACCTTCCTACAGGTAAGCTAGTGGGAATATAAAATGGTATAGCTACACTCAAAAACCATATGACAGTTCTGCAACAAGTTAAACACAGTCAGACCATTTGACTTCGGCAATCCACTCCTATGTATCTACCCAAGAAAAACGAAAACATATGTCCACAAAACTTATATACAAATGTTCATGGCAGCATTATTCATAATAGCCAAAAGGTAGATTAGATTGTCTTTTATTATTAATTTGTGAGAGTTCTTTATATATCTAGATCTAAGTTCCTTTTCACATTTATTTTTGGCAAATGTCCATCAGCTAAAGAATGGATAAAAAAAGTATATGTATACAATGGATTACTATTTGGTTATAAAAAGGAATCAAGTACTGATACATGCTACATCATGGATAAAACTTGAAAACATTATGCTAAGTGAAACATGACAGTCCTAAGTCACATAGTATATGATTTCATTTAATATAAAATGTCCAGAACAGATAAATCTACAGAGATAAAAGGTAGATTTTGAATACTTAAAGCTGAAGATGATAGTCATAACTTAAGGTTATAAAATTTCTTTGTTAAATGATTAAAAATTCTAAAATTGATTATACAACATAGTCTATGTCTTTTTCTAAATATATTAGGCTTTTGCCATAGTGAGAAAGAGAGAGAAGGAGAGAGGAAAAGTGAGACATTAGTGAGAGGGAAAGTGAGAAATGAACATGTGGCCATCTCTTCTCTCCCATTCTCCTGTCAGGATTTTGGTCATACACGCACATGTGCCCAGCATGATTTTTAAGCTGCTGGGTCCAGAACATAAACGATGGTCAGCCTTGTGGGAGTCCAGCACCTTAACCACCACACCACCCACTGACCCTGAATTGCATATTTTAAATGAATGAATTGTATATCAATTATATTACAATAAGGCTGTTACCAAAAAATGAGGCCAAAAAATAAAATATGAAACTGAAGACAAAAATCATACATATTTTTTTTTATTTTATTTTATTTTATTTTATTTTATTAGAGAAATGTTTGCTACAGGGTGCATGCACTCACCAGAAAGACAGAGAGAAACAGAGACAGAAAGTGAGAAATCGCCCCCCTGGGGGGAGATGGCCATGCTGCAATCCCCTCTCCTCCATTTTTCTCTCAGGATTTTGGGCATGCACGCACACACACCCAGGGTGAGTTTTAAGCAGTCGGGTCCAGGACTTGAACCACGGTCGACTACATGGGAGTCTAGCTATGTAAGCATTATGTCATCTGCTGGTCCCTTTTATTTTGTTTTTAAAACATATGTGCATAAGGAAAAAAAAGAATGGTAGTTTGTTCTTTATATTGCTCCTGTATTTTCCAAATTTTTTACATAAGCATAGAAAACATATAAATTCTGATTTGAAAGGTCTAATCACAGAACATGAAATAGACCACTCTTTGTTGTTGATTCAAACTAAAAACAATTGAAGAGGCAGAAATAAAACACTCTATACGAAAATTCATATGGAATATCAAAAGACCCTGAATAGCTAAAATAATCTTGGGGAAAAAAAAAAAAGTCAGATTGTCTCACACTTCTTGGCTTTGAAAGTTACTACAAAGCTACAAGAATGAAAACAATATGGTACTAGGGTGAGCTACAACGGTGTAGGTAGTGATAGCACACTGCTATGTAAGGTTGCAACTACATGGGAGGCTCAGGTTTGGTTTTTGACCCAATCTGAATAGGCTGAGTGCAGTGCCGTGCACCTATAATTCTAGCTAACTAAGAAGCTGCAGTAGGGGGATGGCTGCATGGCAAGACTCCAACAAAAGAGCCCCCATTCTATGCCCTCTCTCTCATAAATAAAATAAAATAATATAAAATAAATTTTAAATTTAAAACACTAAAAATTTGAGGGGAGAGTAGTATGCTACTAGCTTAAAGACATACAAATGAGCAAAATACAATAGAGAACCCAGAAATAAACACAAACATAAAAGGGACTTCAAAACTTTGCAAAAAACTGAAATTAATAAGGTTATTTTGAGTGAAAAGTTT